TATATATATATATAATTTTTTCAGGACTTTTAAGCACATTTTAAAAGAACAGTATTTATTTGAAACAGAATCCTCTGATAGAACGTCTTTGCTCTCGCTCTTGATCAGTTTAATGCGTGCTTGTTTAACAGTATTTAAAAAAGAACTGACCCAAAACCTTTTAACGGTACTGTATATTAAGGATTAAAACATGGATAAAGCGAAACAGACACAAACCTACAAATCTCGTTGACACAAACGGCATGAGCCCTCTCACTTTCCATACAATCCACCGCTGTGTCACATGACTCCCCGTGACCAATCAGACACGTTCAATGCGTGCCAGCACAAGCATGAGCGAGCGGCTATATATTATTCTAGTACACGCTAGCGTTATTTGAATGGGAAAATGGTGTATACAATGTAATAAAACTATGGTTGATTGTACCGTTTTCACCTACACTAACGAGGACTTTATAAGCGATGTTTGTTGTGGACAGCAGACCAGGTCGAGATTTGACATGGCGCTGCGGTGCGGATGGACAGAGAAGAGAAACGCCGGTCTGTTCCGGTATCATCTGGACGAGCTGGAGACCCGGATCCTCCCCGGTCCGTGTGCCTACATCGCTCAGCTGAACATCATGAGGGGCATCGAGAGACGAAAACCTCAGGACATCCTGAGCGTCCGCCAGAACTTTGACCCGCAGCAGTTCAATTTCAACAAGATCAAGCCAAAAGAGCTGCTGTTTGAGCTACAGAAAGACGCTAGACGCCATCAAAATGGTTCAAAAAGGACGTGCAAAGTCATTATAAACGTAAGTCCGTTGGAATTCGGTCACTGTCTGCTCGTGCCAGAACCGGACAGGTGTCACCCACAGATACTGACACCTTGGGCGGTCCAGATGGGGATAGAATCGGTTCTGCTGAGCGCTGATCCAGGATTCAGAGTTGGTTTTAACAGCCTGGGTGGTTTTGCTTCAGTCAACCATCTTCATCTTCACGGCTACTACCTAAACCACCAGCTGAGGATCGAAACCTCCCCAGCAGAACCGATCCTGCCTAAGAAAAACTTGTACCACCTTCTGGACTTCCCAGGAGGCTTTCTGTTCTATACTCAGGGTCCAAACCTGGATTTGACAGTCAATGCAGTTTGTAGTCTCACTGATATTATGGTTGATAGGAACATCGCACATAACCTCTTCATCACCCGAGGTTGCCCCCCACGGAGGGAGCGTGACCCGTCTGTGTCCCGGAATGGGGTGAGGGTTATCGTATGGCCCCGGCTGTCCTGTTTTGGGGCCAAAGAAGAGTCGGCCTTCAACGTTGCCCTGTGTGAGCTCGCCGGACACCTTCCTTTCAAAAACAGAGAAGACTATGAGACAGTCACTGAAGACGGAGTACAAGAAATCATCCGGGAATATCTGCTGCCCGAAGAAGAGTTAAGGGAATTGCAACAGCATGTCATGAAATGTTTATAAATGAGACTTTTGAGCACAGATCTAAATATCCTGTCTCAAAACAAGGAATCAGAATACCTAATAAATGTTGATGTATTTGAAATGAAGTGCTGCTTCGATCAACCATTCATACAGTATTATATATATAATATAAATAAATTGTTTTTTTCATATACGTGTGTATGTTTTTATTTCATATGTGTGTATATATATATATATAGCCTATATATATATATGTATGTATGTGGTGCAAAATATTTTATATATGTGTATATGCCATGTGGTGTAACTATAACATTAATGTAAAATAACAAGAACAAAAAATACAATTGAATTATTTCTACTGTTTTTTTTTTTTTTTAAGTATGGCACTACAATAACAAAAAAAATGTTTCAAACAGTTGTGCTGTCCCACGACCTCACTTTTAATGTTTAATTCACTAACAGACATCCCGTTTTTTGGCAATAAAAATATTTATTTTTGCTTTTTAGTCCATTATTGTGTAAAAAATGTATTAACATTTGACAGTCAGACACAAATAATGAGTCAAAAAGAATGTGTCGGATACTGGTACTATTTTACCATGGTACAGCAGTAGTGAAAGAAGTATGCTTTTATTGAGTACTTCTCTAGTGGTCTGTGAGGGTGAAACTCTCACACAGAGCGTGTAAAAAATGCCACATTGAGGAAAAAAAGATTATTTGATTTTGGGAATAAAATACGCAATAAACATTTATTTAGTAGGCTACATTAATGTTGATTACAAATTAAATTATGTTTCATACCATTGAAACTCAGTTACTCAATAGGCTACTTAATTGACTGGATTGTAAAATTAGGCCTACGTCTAAATGTATCCATTTGCTGTGTCTCAGGACTAATAAGCTATAAACATGATTTCTGATAATACCACGGTTCCATTACAGAATGTTCCATCCCACACAAACAGCCTGACGTCTGAACTGTGTATATGTACACTATTTATTAGTCTGAACCAGTTCTTGATCATATCGTGATGAACAAAGCAGCTTCTCGCGACGCGCGTTCAGGCCTGCAGTGTACGTTTCTTCACTACAAAAGAAGCCTGAAAAGAAGCTAGTTTAATGCTGAAAGAAATTAATCCTCCCTTGAGGCTCATTATAGTTCTTCAACAGGAATTTCACCTCAAAACGCAGTTTTCTGAGTGTGCCTTTGTACCGTGACTGTCCTGTTTACGGCTCAAAAATCCCTCCCACGTGTCAAATCGAAACCGCACGCCTGAGAGGATCCAACCCAGACAACGTCAAACCATCCTGGCGTCGTTTAAACGCTCTCTGTGGCCTCCAGTGCCTATTAACTCCAGGTGATGCTTGCTGTAACTAACACTAAACCGGTCTGAGGAGACCTGAGTCATCTGTTTCGCACCACAACATGAGCCCTGCTGTGCATCTTGTATAGGGACTCTTTTATCTGGCATCCACAAACACTCCTGAGGGCGTCTAGATGATACATTTGTCTTTTAATTGATTCTGCTAGTTGCTTTGAGGTTTGACTTGACCAAACCTTGACCTGATGCTAATCGTGTGGGCAGTGATGACTAAACATTCAAGGTGCAAGTAAGGGTCCGGTGGCCCTTCGAACACACTCTTAAAAATGCTGGGTGAAATATGGACAAACTGTGCCAAAATTACTATATGGCTGGCTTAAAATTCAACTTAATAAATATTCATTTACTGGACATTAATAAATGTACATTTCCAACATACTTTGGGTTAATTTTAAGCAAGAAATATAGTAATTTTTAAGTAATAGTTGAGTTAAATAAAACTACCCAGAGAGTAACCATTACAAAAAGTATTATAGTAAAAGTGCAGTAACCATGTTTCTGGCATACTGGTGACCAGTTGTATAACCACAGTTTTACTACAAATGCCATGATTAAACCATGGTTAGTGTAGCAAAACCATGATTCATTTGTGGTTACCATGGTTTAACCATGTTTTTTTTTCATAGTAAAACCATGGTTAATTTTCGTAAGGGTATTTATACTCTTTTTGTGTACAATGTAAAATGGTGCAATGCATCATATAACTGAAACTAATAAAAAAAAGAACCATATATCAATGGGGTGTTAAAAGATGTTTTAAATAGGAATAAATATTTCAAATAAATTAATTTACCATTAATTAATTTTTTTTGTTAAATTTATTTATTTAATTTACATACATAATTATTTATCTAAACACGTTATTTATTTAAACAAATTTTTACATTTTAAAATTTTTACAAACTTGAAAATGATGTATTTATATGTAGAGAAGGTTATTACATTATATTATTAAACACAGAGTCAGAGGAGACATACACATTGCTAAGGATCACTTAACATTCATGCAAATTCTCAACGGAGAGAGCAAAGAGTTTGCTTAAGCAGAACGAGCCCCTCTCCTCACAATGTAGTGGCCCACGGGAGTTCAATGTTCACCATGTCAAATTTCACTCCGCATTCAACTAGAAGGGAAAACGAATAATGATATCTGAGTATACATGAAGCAAAAAAACAAAGATAAAGAAAAAAAGAAAAGAAACTTGCTCAAGCATAAAGCCACATACTCTACTGAAACAGTAGCAACAACCGTTCAGCCGTGCAGAACCTGCACATCCACAGACAGAAGAACGTTACCAGAACGCGACTGATAACATTTACGTTACATCACCACGTACCAGATACTGTACTCAAAACTGATGGAGGTTTAACCCCTCCAGCAAAAGCTTTAAATTAAACTGTCTGGATCTAACAGGGGACATTTGTGTCAATCTCTAGGCCGGTTGGGCTGCAGCAATTCCCGGAAGCAGTTCTTACAGACCAGCAGATTTGAGCTATAACCTCTGTCATAGACACCCATGAAGCCTTTTCCACCCTCCTACAGTTCCATACTTTGGTGAACAAACAGGACATATGACAACCATGGTAAGCCCACACATTAAAGGGGTCATATGATGCTGCTAAAAAGAACATTATTCTGTGTATTTGGTGTAATGAAATGTGTTTATGCGGTTTAAGGTTCAAAAAACACATTATTTTCCACATACTGTACATTATTGTTTCTCCTCTATGCCCCGCCTTTCTGAAACGCGTCGATTTGTACAAAGCTCATCGGTCTGAAAAGCGAGGTGTGCTGTGATTGGCCAGCTATCCAATGCGTTGTGATTGGCCGAAT